GTACATACTTGGCCTTCCTTTCACTTTTTTTTTTTTTTTTTTTTTTTCTTTTTTTAAATGAGTGATTGAGTTGTTGAATCATAAAGAAAAACTTTATGGTTTAGTTGGGTAAGGACAAGGCAGCAATGCTATTAGTAATAGGCTAATAGCTTAATTAGGCTGATATAAATCGATAATGGAATAAACGCAACGCGCCTCACTTTGTATGTAGTCCTACTTAGTCTTACTTAGTGCTAGTAAATCTGTGAGTTTTATTAAAAAAATTATATTTAAGATAAAATTAATTAGTAATAAATGGATTAAGATTTTTTTGGTATTTAATACATATTTCTTTTATTATTTTATTAATGTAGAATTTCTCTACTTAACAATAATTGTGTAAGACTAATCACCATAAAAAATTAAATAATCATGTTACAGCAAAATTAAATAACTGCATAATTGCTTTGCCTTTGGTGGGTAAGACTTTGAATTGATTCCTAAAGTTGGTTAGTGCAATATTGAAGTAGCAAGCTATGGGGGTTGGGAATACTAAAAGTTAATCTACCATAGTGCCTTTACCACAACTGCTTGAGCTTTATGACCAGTTATGAGCTTTATTACCTCTAGCATAAATTGCCATCCTCCGAAGTTAAATACTATCTCTTTTGTACCTCAACTGTTTGTTATGGTTACCATGGAGCAATCCTATTGTTCATAAATGAGAAGTTAAATTCAATTATGCATTGTTCTTTTCTTCACACTAGATAGACTGTACACCAAACCTTTAGCATGTATTGCTGATGTCTCGAGAACCAGATTGAAGCAGATCGTTTCAACCACTCTAACTACGATTGTTTGGCTTTCGGTCCAAATTCAATTGGAAAAGGGGTTAAGAACTTGTCAACAAAATCAATAGAGCCTTTGTCAATGTTGTAGCCTTCCTTACAGGTCAACAGAGATGCCAAGTCGCCTTTACTGAGAATGTAAGGGCTCATCTGGTGGAAAGAATGATTATTCTTTGATTAACCTGTAAAATTAAAATAAATTGTAAAGAGAGTATGACATAAAAATTATTCTTTTTATGTTTCTGATAACAATTTCTAATAAAATCCTCACTATCAGATTTTGTTTGAAAATGCATTATACAATACTTCCTTTCTTTTAACATTATATCCAAAAATATAAATTTATTATAAACAATTAA